GGATTACTGAAAAGATTCTTCCTGTCTTTAGTTTAGGTTTCTTGGTTCTAGTTTCCTGTTTAGTTTAACTGTACTTTAGTATTATGTATCCAATCCCCTAGACGGATCTTTCAGAATACTCTTTATGGCAGTTATCATTAACCTACCTGAAGATGGCTCACATCCCTTTTCCTTGCAAACAGTGAGAGCAAAAGTGTTTCTATATTGTTTCTCTTCTGGGCTGATTGTTCAGCCTCTGTATGTAATTTATTTATCTAGTCACATTTTCCTGGAACATTCCTCTGAGACAGTCTGTTTATTTTTCTGTGTCAGTTGATTGTAGATTTTGAAATGCATAGGAAGAAAAGTTGATGTGCATGGTGCTCTGACTAGGGACTAATAAGCTAAAATCAATATAGGTGTGTCTTTTAATAAACCAGTTGAATTTTTGTTTGGGTTTATTGAAAAATGTATCTCAGTCAAAAATTTGTTTTCAGTATCATATTTGTTAGGTGAATCAAATGATGGAAGGACAGCTACTCTAATGACATTTGTTAGTGATTGAGCTGTATTTGCTGTGACTCCCCGATTTATGAACAGGTTAATCTACTTTTAATACTCAATATTGGCTCATCTAACAATGATTTAAAAGTAGAGGTGCATAACAGACAAATAGCAATGACAGCTGGGATCTCTGACCTGTTCTCTTTCTACATTATCCTTCCTCTGAGTGCTTTGAGTTCAGGACTACAGTGACTGATTTTCTTAAGAAGTCAGCATGTGATTTTACCTGTAACTGTTGGTATCCAACATTTCTGGAGAAAAAAATGCGGAGATATTAACAGGGTATTTGTGGTGTGTTGTGATGATGTGGTACTTCTCTGGAGTGTGATAACTTTCCTTTTCTCAGTAGGATAGAGGTGTTGAAGATCAAATTGCATCTTTAATTAAAATACATGAATTCCTGAGAAGCAGGACTGCAAGACTGCTTTCAAGATCTTGTAGCACCCTCTAGTAACTGAAAGATCTATTTAATCTGTCTTGACTTCATGCATTTTACAAATGTGAGCTATTAGATGGCTAAAGAATCATTAGCCAAACTTTATTGGTGTGTTTATTAGCGGGTATGTTTGAGGTCCCTGAGCTTCTGAAGTCATGCTTGCTCACGCTGTGCTCACGAGTTCAGGTTCCCTTGGTTAAGTAACAGGTAGCAGCTCTTGCAATTTTTGTTTTCATTCCACTCAGTTCAAAGCTGTACAGTCAGACTGTTTTCTCCTCTTACAGATTGTGTTTGTGAGTTTGTTGCCTGAACACAATTTTCAGGGAGAATAGAGCATGAGTGAGCTCTCAGCTTTTCTGTGATGCATCGTCTGCTAGGGCTGGGGAGAAGCCCAAAGTAGATCACAACTGCATGCAGCACCATTTTTTTTTTTTTTTTCTATTTAAATGTCAGCATTAATCCAACAAAAGTGTATAGGCATTGTTGAATTGGGTCCTGAAACTATATTTTGAGATAAAATCCATCTGAGCTTTGCATGTACCAAAGAAAGAAAATAGATGAGCTAACCTGGCAGGAAGGAATGAAACTCTCACAGTTTAATGATGCACAAAAGCAAGGCAGACCTGTTTTGGAGCAAATTTCCAGATCATTTTGGCATATGCAATCCTGTTTTTTTTCTTGAGATTTACATAAAAATATACCTGTACTATCCTTTTAATGACACCAGTCAGGATGTTAGTGAGTTTGGTATGCAGATGCAATGAAAATTTATATAACCTGTATGTATGTGGCAACAGATTGGCACCTTGCCCTTTAACTCCTCCTTGCAACTCAGATAATTTTAAAACTATTATTAAATTTATTTTTGAATCAGCAAAGCTGAAGAGCCAGGGAGGCTGGAGGTGTTAACACATTTAACATTTAGAAGAAAGTAACAGTGTATAGTGTGGATGCTTGCTGCTTTTTTTTCTTTTTCTGTAGGCAGAAAACTATTTTAGGTAAGAATATTAATTCCAGTATTTTATTATTCCTCTTTCTAGGACTCAGGCTTTTTATGAACTTTTTGCTCCATCCTTCGAGATAATAAAACCTGAGCCTCTCTAGTGGCTTCTAAACCTTTGATTGGCCAAGGTTAGCCTTATGGTGAGCCCTTCCTGTATTTAATTAACGAAGTGCAAGTATCTCATACCTATTAAATGACCCCCTTGTATCTTCCATTCTTTAGCCAGTTATTCCTTTTCTACAATTTTCTTTCTGAGACGGCTTTCATTTTTCCTGCCAGTTTTCCTGGGGTGCTCTGTAACAACCAAACTTGTCCCTGTAGGTCTCGTTTAAAATTCAGCTTTCCATTACAGTTGAAAGATGTGAAGCTTAGGGTGCAGCACTGGTTTGATCTTGGGGCTGAGGTACGAGCAGCACTGTGCCACAGAAGTGCCAAAGTCATCAAAGCTTTACTGCTACCTCTCTTCATGGGATCCTAGCTTGGTATTTTATTTTCATTTCTCCTTTCAGTGACTATTTAGTGAGCTCTGATTACATAATTGAATTTGATAAACTGATGGTATGTGATTGATGAGAAAGTCGGGAATAAAAGATTAGAAGATAAAATTACTTCAAGGGTTTAAGTAAATCTTCTAGAGAGCTGGGGTAATTTATAAACCATGCTATATTCTTTGTAAAAATATTCCCATAGGTCTATTAAATTTTAGCTTCTACCAGAATTGGATTGTGTTTTGAGAATCATTTTCATGTAATACCAGCTTGATTGTGCTACTTTAAATGGGAGATAGCTCTGAGTGGGTTGCAGCATCACTGGGTTTGGAATATTTGAGGCAGAAATGTAAGGCTGAACGACAGATCTGTGGGCAGCAGTCTTTGTCTTTCAGATAAACCATTTTTTCTTGGAAAGACGTAAGTTAGAAGGAATAAGTGAATAATTCAGAGTGAAATAATGAAGGAGGTTATACTGCTTGAGTCTTTAAATCATTGAAACACAGGATCAACAAATTACTCTCCTAGACCTTTATAGTGCAGATACCAGTTTCATTGGACTCTCCCCGAACGACTCGGCTGTCATCAGGAAGGAACAGTTTAATCAGCTCATTTCATGAGCCTCTCTATATTTGCAGGTAAATATCATTTTTAGGGGACTTGGTACGAATCCTTTCAATTCACCAACTGGACTCTCTTATGACCCCTTCTCCATCACGACTCCCTGCCACTGGCCTCTTCATCTCCAGGGGAAGCCTGACACCTTTAGTCTTGCAAGGGTAGAACGTGTGTAATAGTTTTAAACTATTGCTTGAAGATGATGTGGTGTGGTGTGGTTTTTTTTTTTTAATTGCTTTGTTTGTTTTATTTTTCTGCAGAAATAACTGTATCTTTCCCAAGTTAAATTCTAAAAACTAGGGAGGCAATTTCTCAATACAAATCATCAAATGTGTATGCAGCTGATGTTCAGCTTTATAGCCAATCGTAACAAATAGTTTGGCAGCAGTCAACCTGTGACTCCTCGACCACACTCAGCTGAAGTGCAGCTGCTGCCCTGGCTCTGGACAATTAGGCTGATAAAGAGTCTGTGTTGCCATGTGGTCTGTGAAGTAACAAAAATTCCCTGATAAGAGGGAAAAAGAAAGATAAAAGATTAGAGAGTTGGACATCACCAGGCCAAGCTGTGCACCCACTGCCATCCCAAACTGGAGTGGGACCCTAGAGCACCTTGAAAGCCACTGGCACCCCTTGCCTTGAGCTCCTTCCCTGATGAGTTTGGTTGCTGTCTATCAGCTGTTAAAGATTATAGCACGTGACCTCTGGATTCAACAATTTCACACAACCTTGAGTAATACATGAGGTCACTTCCCCATAACCTGTAAAAGGTGGCTTAAACTCTTTAAATAGCACAAATGAAAATACCTGAGCTTAATCTGAAGTAAGTTTTGAAAGAAAGATTAGCAATGTAACTGAACGTTTAGGTGCACTGGGACAACATTAGCATCAATCTCTTTTTCAGTATTTTATATATAAAAGACACAGAGTACACTCCTAAAAAGCAGAGTGCTGTAGTGTCTACCTATTAAATATTATACCATATTTTGTATTAAATCTCTGACTTTGAATGTAACATATATTTTATATATATATACACCTAAACATGTTACTTTTGATTATGGAAGGTATTTCTAAACTTCTGAGGTTAAGTCTGTAGTTCCTACATAGTTAGAAGTAGAAATTTGAAGTGTGAAAACCTTAATCTTTCAGAGGTGAGGAGGGGTGGGTCTCCAGCAGCTGTAGACTTGTAATCAATCTGCATTGAGCAAAGCTTTGACAATGCATGAGTTGAGACCTTTGCTTAGAGTATTTTAAGCATTTGTGATCCATGGGAAAAAGAGTTTGAGACCACATATGACACTTGAACATTACTGAAGTACCTTAATTTGAAATATTAGTGGTTTCATGAAATAAAATGTAACACTTTTTGGTTGGCAATAATGTTGAAAAACACATTACTCTTGTGATTTTGTCAGTTGTGTGTTTTTTTTTTTTCTAAACTCTTTTTTTTTTTTCCTCTATCAAAATTCTTCATTTACCCTGAGACTTCTCCTGCTGTGATAATCATTTCTATCCAAGATTACTCTTCTGGTTTCTATTCAAGAAATAATAAAAAAAAAAGCTTTGAGTGGATTTAATCTTCACAGAGAAGAGGGGGGGAAAAAAACCCAATGGGGCTGTTCACTGCCTGCCACAGCAGACAGTGATGAAAATCTCATACAGTAAACATGGACAGCAGCTTGGCTGAGTGGGCACTTCTAAATAAGTACCAAGGACTAAGGTTATCAAGATCTTGTGAATTCTGCCTCTAAAGATAAACCAGTTATGAAAGTAGCAGCATAAGTCTTAACTACTGAATCATGTTGCCTCTTGTTTTGTGATGACCACTTTGAGAAGAAATGAGCCAAGTATGAGTAGCTTACACTGTGGTCACTTCAATAGCTTATAAAATCATCTTCTCTTTGTATTTCAGATGATGTTGCACCATACTTCAAGACTGAACCAGGCTTGCCCCAGATACACTTGGAGGGAAATCGACTCGTCCTTACGTGCCTTGCCGAAGGCAGCTGGCCCTTGGAATTTAAGTGGTTACACAATGACAGTGAAATAACCACCTACTCCAGTGAATACAAGTAAATAAAAACTATATAATAGCTTTCTCTTAAGTGTAATTGCAAAAAAATCCCAAAACAAACACCACCACTCCCCCAAAATCCCCAGATTTTCAAACCAGCTATGTAGATACTGATATATTGACAGTGGGTTTTGCCATAAAAGAAGACTATTTTGTAAACAAAGTAGATCTCTGTGAGAGAATCTTGTTTGTTAAAAATGCTATTACACACTTCAAAACAAGGGTCATAACATAGATTTCTTTTTTTTTTTAAAGTGTCAAAAATGCATTTTCCTAGAGATTTAACCTTACATGCATTTGTAACAAATAACTGTCATATTCCTTAGCTAAATGTTAGGTATGATGTTCTACTCACCCTTGAAGAAAGCTAAGCTCAGTGGGCTGCTCTTTTCCATAAGGTCTAGAAGAATAAGATCTGTCTTAAATTGCACATGAAGCTTCTGGATTCACTTCTGAAAATTAATGTGAAAATTAATCTTTAACAAACTGTTCTTCTATGATTATGCACTTTGCTCCCAGGACCTCACTGGCTCCCTCCCCATTCCACAAGACATCCCATCAAGCCAGAATAAAACCATACTGTCCCTAATCAGAGCTACATTTTGCTGATAGGCAGCAGATGGCTGGCCAAATATCAAAGCATAAACCAGCCAAGTTTTGTCTGCTTTTCTTTAATGGGAGCATTAACTGGATCTCCCTTATCCAACTGGCAATTTCTATAATCTTATAGAAATTTAATATTTATGAAACTTATTTGTTACTTTCAAATTTTGTTGAAATTATCTAGTGAATTCAGAAGTTAGATAGATATGTGACAGACAGAGCCCCTGTGTAACGCCTGGATCTTTAGCAAACCACACAAAATGCTACACTTGGGTGATTATGTTGCTTGAAGTGGGGAAAAGTTGTGCTCCATCATTATAGACAGAAATTGCAGTATAGATTAGTCTAAAAATGCAGATCATGACATAAATGTAGCTTCTATCACAATGGTAGTCCATTCTCAAAGATTATCAAAATTGTAACAGAAAATTAGTTCTGTTTTCAATATTCTTTACATTTACAGAGCAGTAGAGAAAAAAAGTCCCTTAAACAACATTTTAAAATCTTTTTTGGCCATTTAGCACAAAGTATTTAGCCACTATGTTTCCAATGAAACATATGAATGTTCTATGTGAACTTTCCTTGAATTTAAAGACTTTTGATTTTGATGAGACCACTTAGTCCTGAGTAATTGCATCTATTAATTGTTGCCTTCAGGTATCTGATAGCTCAAAATGAGACATACACATGTAGAAGAGATTTGTGAATACTTTCTAGAAAATAAAAATAAATTCTAGTAGCACAATTAATCACAGAAGGTTATAGCATCACTTTGTGTCAACGTGACCTGTTTTGATCAATAACAGCAGAGTCTGTTGTAGTTTCATGGTAGAAGGAGCTGACAACAGCTCTTAACCATGTAAGATGCTGAGAATGTAAGACAAAGAAATGGCCTGGGAGGACAAAACACATCAACATGGAATCAACAAAAAGCAAAGGTTACAACTCAAGCTTTGTAGATGTTGTAGTTGCTGAGAGACTTACTGATACTGGCAGAAACCTGAAAAAGAACATGTGCATTTTGAAACTAAGATCAGAATGCAATGTATTTCTTAAATAAGTATACATCCAAATTCAAAATTATAATTTTACTGTGTATTGCAGTATAAGTTACAAGCAGTGTATTGGAACACTTTTCCCAGGCTGTATTTTATATTTCCCAGGATTTTGTTTCTATAGAAATGCAAAGCTTTAAGCTTCCAAAAAGGATTATGTGGCACAGGTGCGTTAGGATGAATGAAAGGAAGGGAAAGATATGCTTAGAAATAAAAATTCCAGTAGCAAAATTTAAACTTTGACCCCATAATAGTTTGCTCTGCAGTTCTCTTGGGTAAATACGGTGTTGAAATTCATGAATCTTTCCTATGTAAGTGACTTCTGCTGCAATTTGAATCATCAATCAAAGATTTTTGGTAATTGGTATTACTTAGTGTGTCTCAGTTAAAGTAATGTCTCTATTTTAACAGGCTGAAAATATTCAAAGCTTATAATAACACACCAAGTGAGTAAAGAACTAATTGGAGTCTTTGCATTTTGACACTGGTGACCCTGAATGAACAGCTTTTCTTTGTGTAACCATGCTGATGATGTGCACAGCCTGGCTTTTACAGTGATTGTGCATACACTACTTTGTATTAAGAATTTATGAAACAACCTTATAAATTCTTTGTGATCTGAGATACACGTAATGAAAACAAATCAATAGTGCTGACTGCAGTTGTAATTTTTGTTATGTTTTATCTTTAAAGTTCAGACAGGGACTTTTTTTTTTTAAGTTTACTTTCTTTTGAATTAATTTCTTAACCAGGTGTGTCTTCCATATTTGCTGTGTGGCCTTGAGATGTTAATTTTACTTTAAGTTAAGAAACTAAGGTTATGTTTAAGCAGCAGTACACTTTCCTCCCAAACTACTTAAAAGTATCTTATCTAATAAAATGTGTTTGGTTTTAGTTCTGTCTTCACAATTTTAGCTATTAAAAGTCTGTGGCCTATAGGTTCACTTTTAACTCTTAGAGCATTTAAAATTGAAATGAGGGGGTAAATTTGAAATTGGGAATGAAACCTAAGCCTTAGCTAGCATTTCTCCTTAGCTGTTTGATGACCACTTCATCCTTTAACTTGTTGCAGTCCCGGTGATGGAGCATGTTATGCTCTGGAAGACTTCCCTTGAAGCTTTCTGTCATGCTTGTCACTTTACATCTTTTATGGAACCTTTTTGAACAGCCAGTTCCTGGCCGACTGTACCATTCAAAACAGAGAAACTGTCTGGTCTGACTTTTAAAGTACTTGCACAGATCCCCAGAAAACTTAAGTAGCCTCCTGGCATCTATGCAATGGGAAGGTCTTCTATCTTGAAAGTCAGAGTGTAGACAAAAATAAAGCAAAATCATGTCTTGTCACTGTAAAAGAATTGTATTAACCTTTGATTTATGTTCATTCCATGGAAGAAAATATTGTTTTGAAACCCCTCTTACATATCAGAAAATAAGTAGAATGGTAAAAGCATAGCAGAAAAAGCAGTATTTGGACTGTCAGGTCGATAGAAAAGTATAATTTAAAAAAAATGATCAGACATATCAGGTGCATAAAAACTGTTTAAAACAGTAAACACAGAATTAGAACTTTCATGAGTATTTATCTCTTGCCAAGTTTGTAATTTTCAAGTTAGTCTCACATAATATAAATATGTTTTATACATTCTAGCGTTTTTGTTTTTGTTTTTTAAGCTTTTATTATTTAATTATTCTCATTTTGCTTTGCATACCTGCACATTGTTAAATAGTAGGTCCACTGAGAAGCCAGCTGCTCAGCAGGCTTGGGCTGTCTCAGAATTTTCAGGATAGATAGGATTTTCACTGTAAACTTTAAAAAGATTTTTATTTTCTTCAGGCAACAGAGTAAGAATGG